GGAAACATCACATTAGTGCAATTAGTCTCGATAAGAAGAAAAGAGATCTTCTTATGATAGTGAGCTGATTTCAACCTGACCTTTGCAAGCCATCACACACCTACTAGGAATTATGCTATCAATTTGTCATAATTGTCTGACCAGCCTTTTCATAGGATACACTCGGGGACATATCCATACCATCCAAAATTTCCTTCACTTAACGCTTGATAGCTGTCAATTGAATCATCATACGTCTCTAATTGTCTTTAAAGCGGCTTGGCCTAGTTTGGTTTCAGTATCGTGGAATCATTTTATCGCTTATTATTCAAACCTTGAACCCACAGATTTTGGTTCTTGAACCTTTTTTCTTCTGACTTAGTTGTCGAATGACAATGAGACAGAATATCATCCAGCAGTTTAATGGAGTGTTAATTCAAATTTCCCACTACTTCTGACAAGCTTGGGTCAATAATGGCACATGGATTGACATTGTAATAACATCCAAAGGCAAAGAATACTTCAAATATCATTTTACGCTGCCCTTTTGGCTCAAGGCTGTCCAACTGTAAATAACAAAGTAACTAAATCCGGTAAAAAGGATACACTCTAGTTCTGTAATCAGATGGGGCCTCTCGTATGAAAAGACCTTCACATCCTGTATTTTTGCAATTGTACAACGTTTTATTCTAAGTGCAGGATTATCCTTATCAGTATATAGCAATTATAAACAGGACTCCTCCACTTTACTATTCTAAATTTTTCAACTGAAGGGAATTTTTCCTGAACATACAGCCCTCGACTTAGATATAACATCCACTCTGAACACCCATAAGAAGTTATAAAAAAGCCAACTAAGCGATTTTGGCAATTAACCATGTATTTCGAAACTTTTAACAGCTATCTTTTCTGTATGGTTTGCCATTTATGCGTCTAGATGCATGTAATGGCCATGGGGTTGGCATTGTCTATTGCTCTCCATGGTATCGTACCTGTAGTATCGTAGAGTAATTAGCAAGTAAAGTAGAATGTAATTTGTATTGTAACATTTTATCTGGATATAAAAAAAATAAAAAATTTATGCGTCCACCATTCAGCAGAAACTCGTCCTCAAAACCTTGATTACACAAGATTTACTGACGATTTAAGACATCTGCAAAAATGCCTGCATAATGTGCTGTTTGCCGGTAGAAAAATTGTGAAGTCTATTACCGATTGTCGTGGCTATTTCTGTTACTGGTCAGGTCTCTTTTATGGGAACAAAAGACTGTAAAGAACTGCCTGTTGATGTAAGAAAACGAGTCTTTCAGTGCCTGTGAACAGCGACTTATGCAACATTTCAAAAAAACTTTTTTATGTTATATATGATTTTAATTAAAAGCTGTAAATGTTTATGTTCTATACATTCGTTTTTACATGCTTTTATAGGGTTCCGGCGGTTTTACTTTCTAATTTTTACATTTGACAGGACGCATTGATACGAGGGTCACTCCGAAATTATTGACGTTTTCAAAATTCGCGCCAAATCCAACGTTGTAAAACAGGTTTCCTTAAACTTACACATTTATAAACTTTGTTTGTAAATTCTTGTCCATTTTAACCAAAATACATTTTTTTTAACAAACTTTTAAAAGAGGGGACTTTCATTTTCGAAACGGAGCTTGAAAGATGCGATTTTTGTGCAATGATATATTGTGATTTTAAAAAGAGATTAAACATGAGGAATTTCTACAACAACTAGTTGCAACTTTTGAAGATCGTACACCATCAAGGGTAACTGTTTTTCGATGGTTTGCAGAATTCAAACGAGGGAGGGAGAGTCTGAAAGATGACTCCCACCCGGGAAGACCACCAACGGCTGTGGTCCCCGAAACTAAAGCTGCTGCTGTGGAAAAGCTACTTAAAAAAGATGGCCGAGTGACCTATGAGGGGATGCGGAAAAAGTGAGCATTGGATCGACAGCATTAAAAACAATTTATCACGATCATCTTGAAGTGAGAAAGGTTGCAGCTTGCTGGGTACCCCATTGCCTAACAGAGGCACAGAAAGAGCATCGGGTAAACTGGTGCCAATTTATGCTTGAAAAGTTTGATAATGGAAGGTCCAAACGTGTGTATGACATCGTCACAGGTGATGAAAGTTGGATTTACCAATTTGACCCAGAAATAAAACGCCAGTCGTCAGTTTGGATCTTTCCGGAGGAGAACCCACCACAAAAATTCAAGCGCTCCAGAAGCGTCGGCAAAAAGATGATCGCTTCTTTCTTCGGAAAAATGGGCCATGTGGCAACAATTCCTCTTGGTGATCACCGCACAGTTAATGCAGATTGGTATGTAAACCAGTTCATACCAAAATTGTTAGATTCATGGCGAGAAATGTTTAATGACTCTCTAAACATCTTTGATCGCCGTCAAACATCTCGGAGCAAGACTGAGCAAGACGGAGCAGGGCTGAGCAAAGCTGAGCGAGTGGTCAAGCGAACTGAACTTTTTACTGAGCAGGCATGTTGAGCGTTGCTCAGTGAAATGTTCCGTTCATTTGACCGGGGCTTTAGTCACCCACCCACCATATTCACCCGACTTGGCACCTTGTTACTTTTTCCTTTTCCCTACCATCAAAGAAAAACTGCGTGGAACGAAATTTGATAGTCCGGATGAAGCCGTGGAAGCATTTAAAGAAGCGATTTCGGACCTTCCTGTTGACAAATGGAAAATTGTTTTGCTACTTGGTTTAACAGAATGAAACTTTGCATTGATGCTGATGGAGAGTATTTTGAAAAGCTGTAAAAATTTGAGCCTATTTTCCTAAGCCGTTTTTGAAAATGTCAATAATTTAACAGCAGCAGCCTTGTAGTGTTTAATTTTAATCCTGTATGAAAATTTCAGTTGCATTCGCCGGTGGCTTGATCGCTACCTTGAGTGGAATTTTCCTCTCAAAAAATCAGTTTGACCTGAATTTCCACTGTCAGGTTCAATACCAGTCTTTCTTTCCCCTTCTATCATAACTGGAGATCAACAACGCCCTGACTTGCTTCTCAAAACCAAGGAAAATTGTCTGTACGCTTTAGAACTAACCATAGGCTTTGAAACAAATCTCATCTGCAACGCTAGCAGAAAGTCAGCAAGTATGCCAACTGGTAACTCCTGCAGCTCTTTCATCGACATATGTCACTCTCTTTCTACTGACAATCAACAGAAACGTTATCTCATCTCCAAACTTTCAAGCCTTTCCATTCTGCTGTAGAAACTAAACTTGGACTAACCTAAAGCAACTGCTTTTTAAATATGATGGGTTTTGAATTTATTTTGTTGTTGTTGATCTTTTCGTTTTATCGCTACGATTGTAAAAGTTTAATTTTGTGAAAACAGGTCAGCCAATTACAAATTACCTATGTAATAGAGAGGTTTGCAACTGTAGTTTGAACTGGAATTGTTAAAGTTTTAATTTCATGTTTTGATCTTTTAAGCACAGTAGCCCAGTTACTTGCGGAGAACTGCTTTTCAAGGGCCCGTGTTAAATCTAAAGTTCAGTTGGACTTGTGACGTCATCAGCCTGCCATTTTATTTGCGTACGACCTGCCTAGCATAAAGATATTGTCTTAGATTTGTATTGATATCATCATAACCACGAATTGAATCTATTAAAAATCGATTTTTGAGAATATCTGACGTCAATGGTCACGTGAATACAAGGTTAAGAAGCATCTATCTCAAAATGGTTTTAGGTTAATTCTTGAACGTGAAATTATCATTGTTTTCTAGCATCTCTTCAGAAATCGGTGTGATATTTAATAGAATAAAAGACAAATAACACTTTACAAGTTAACTATGAAAGCATTAAAGGTGTGTCCCTTATCTGGAGTGAAAATTGAAGTTGAAAATCCTGGCTGGCAATTCTAAAAGATGTTATGCAACTTACGAAATGACTGCATTCCAAGGCTTGCCATAACTAAACACACCCAAATGATTTTCTGTAAGTGAAACCTTCGTAAGAACCCCAAGCTGGAAGAATTAATAATTTTACAAAACCTTCAGCGTGGATGATGTGACAAATGGACTGAAGAACCAAACTATTCTCCCGCATATAACCCTTTTATGTTGGAAAAACTCTTTGCGCTCATTTTGAAATTCTTATTCCGAACTAATTTTCATCCAGGAAATGTATGACTTGCAGAATAAAAATTGCAAACACTTTCAACGGAATGCTTTCATACATTTAATGAGAAGAGGCCTACTGTTTGTTTCGCTTGAACAACGAATAAGCATCTCCTGAGAATTTTGACCAGAATAACAGCAGAAACACATAATTTAACCAGTAATTTAAGCTATTTTCTATTTATCTTTACTCATCCTAAATAATATTCCCTTGCTATCAGCCTAATTTTGTTTGGTATACAAAAGCAAAGACATGTCTTAAAATTTGATTCAAAGATTAACTTACGCCTTGATTCTATTGATTGTTTTGCATAGAACGTGAATCCACATAGCGTATGGTGTGATTATTGTATTTATCATAAGGTTTCATGAAACATGATACCAGTAAACAATGTTTTTTGGGACAAAGTTATAAATATTTAGCGAATGATAAAGCACCATCAAATGATTAGCATTACCCTTTAAAAGAACTGAAATATCTTTTCATAACCAAGCTGTTTCTTTTACATAACTTTTCAGGTTTCTTGTAACGTCAAAAAGAGCTAATTTTCTTAAAATTATTAGCTGAATTAAAATCATGACTCTGTTACCTAAAGATCCAAGAAGATGTAGCCACAATAATTAAGCTTTCTTGGAATGTATCCCATATATCAATGTAAATATAGGTATAAAACCAGAGATTATTTCCTATGTTGCTAGCGTTGTAAATGTGTGGTGGAAGGCAATAACAGTATGACGTAATATCGTTTATGGCTATGCAATGACTTGCCCAACAAATTTATTATGGTACTTTGTCGATGATGTTGTTGAGGAGAACATGTTTTAGTATCAAGGTAACAGATGGGAAAACAAGTTGATGCTACTCACTGTTCCAGTTCTTGGATAAATAATGATGACAGGCCTAGCGATGCGGCGTAACAAACGTCATCATCCTCACACTTCTCCCGTCAAAATGTCTCTAATACCACAGCCTGAAAAGTGTTCTTGGATCCAAAAGGATGTCACTGCGAATGTGTTCAAATCAATACGGTCTACCAAACATATCAATGAACTATGTTTAAGCGTTCTCAGATTTCCAGCTAGTCAAACGCAGGGCATTCTTGATGGAAAAGCAAATCCAAACAATAGATCACTCTGTCGCTTCTCGATTCCTCCCTTTGGCTCTGGGACCAGCTCTTAATTACCGATAGCTTTAAAGTGAAATCCTTCTAGCTTATCATGTTTGCGGCGTGATCTGCTGGAACTGAGCAGAGAACAATTCGTCAGTTGAGGAACAATAGGTGCAGCATTCGGCAAAGCACTTACAAAAAGAATTTCTGATACAATTCAAAACACTGAATCCACGTTCGTATTTCATTAGCACAAGGGCTGATTTTCTGAATGGGACGGTACTTACTTTCTGTAGCTTTTGCAATGATCTTCTGACCTGTGTCTCTTATAGTCAAACAGTGTGGTTAAGTCTACAAAAGAGGAAGCAACTATTGATCGTCAGACCGAATTCAAGTTACGTATGATAGCAAAATAATTTGGTAAGCAACGACAAGACGAAAAGCTGTGAGTACATTGAACCACCAAAGGAATTTTTGATAATTCTTCTTCAGTTTGCTTCATCTTAACAAAGATAGCCTTCAAACCACAAAGTGAGACTTTTCAGGAGGGCGGTATGATTTCAAAGCTTACTAGGTTCCTTACTAGATTGCCTGGCATAGAAAACGGGGTACCAAGCTTGCTCCCTTAAGAGGTTTTGAGACAACACCCTTCCTATCGTGGGAAAATGATGTTCAAAGTTTCCTTTGCGGTATGCTGTGCTTTTGGCAGCTTAATTGATGGAGAAACATCATTGATGTAGTGATGTTGTCAGTCTGTTATCGAATAAAGTGTAGGGCCCAGCCCTGCTTGCCCAGTGACATTGCTGTTTCGTCGCACTGCTGATATTCCCTAGAATGTCAAAATGCATCTTTACACTACGTACAGCCCCTTTAAGCATTTGGAGCCTTGATATATGAGGCTATTCCTATTGATTTAATGAAGACCTAAACAATTCAACTCATTTTCTTTAGACACAAAAACACAGGAACCATTGGAAATGAGTGGCGTCGTTTGCAGGTCGCAGAAACAGTGATACTTACAGGGCCTGAGCTACAAAGTATCTGATGACAGAGTAACTTCATTGATACGATTAGAGATATTTAGTTTCCAAAAACGATAATCAGAATTAACGCATTTCTTTTTCCAATATATTTTACAAAAACTATTTAGAAAACTTTTCATCTCAATAACTACTCGTTACGCTAGCTCATCTTTTATTTCTGACAAGTGGTGTGACTGAGGTGTGCACCACTCCAAGGAGCATATCAATTATTTTAGCTAGAAAATCCCCGAAGAGTCCCGAAATATCCCATTGTTCTGAAAAAATGACTTTGAACGTGGTTTGAACGAAACAGGAAAGAAGCAGATGTGTGACAAGCGCATTAAAAGTTATTACCGGTGCCAATTTTCAACAAGATTAAAGCCCTGAATTTGAAGGACAATGTCAATACCTAAGAAGAACCATATGATTTTTCAACTAGACCAGAATTCACTTGTTGAAACAGGTCTGGGGAGACGAATAACTTCTAAACTCCACTTCAGTTGTAGCTATGGATTACTTTGTCCAAGGGAATATAACAAAATTTTCTAATTCTAAACTAGAACATTTAAATAGAAACTTATAATTAGATGCCTATAAACTTAGAATTGTCCTAGTAAAGACCCCTGAATGGCTGGCACGAAAGCTAGCTTTGCTGACTGTTCATCTTTCTACGATCGCAGTGCTTTTGCGGCTAAATTCCATCACTGCCTTTCATACATTATCCAATTAACCTAGTGCTTATCACAAAATTTAACTTAATTCATTTATAGCAAGTTCAAGAACGTGATGTGACAGCTCATAATCTAAAGCAGAAGGTTTTAACTCAAAATAGTTTCTAATATTTTCCCACTGAAAGTTGACACTCAATAAGTTCAAGAGCAACCTGCAAAAGACTAGGACACTTTTCAACTGATAAACTGTTTTTTACAAGATTAACCTTTAATCTATTCAATAATTATGCCAAAGGCAACTTTCAGGTTCCCAACCTTTACTCATTGTATTATCAATTGTCCTGACCACCTTGGGTATGAGTATTGTCACAAATGACATATCTATTATTCTATATTAACTCATTTGTTACTTTGGCACCCTTTTTATTTTGCTTTGACCTTATTGTATTCTACTAGCTATGCTATTTCTTTTGAGACAAAATGAGCATTTCTTATTTATTTTATTGTAGCAATCTCAATAACTTTTAAACTAAAGAGGAGGGGGCTGTAAGTTGATACATTGAATGAACATTTGCCAATGTTTTATTTTGTTGCAAATTATTTTATCTTTGTTTTTATGTTGATATATGATCCCGTAAATCCTCTAATCGCCCCCCCCCTCGGAAAAGCCCCAACCTCGAATAAGCCCCCCCTAGAACTACAAATTGTTAATAAGCCCCCCTCCCCGCCCTCGAATAAGCCCGCACTAAATTCATACTTTTGGTAGTAATTAATTAAATGCTCATAAAGAAATTCCTACTAAAATAAGTGAGGTCTTTTTATAATGTCTTCTTAATGTTTACAATAATTTTATAAGCCTCCCCCCGTATAACCCCCCTCCTCGAATAAGCCTTCATCCAAAAGTAAAATTCGAGGATTTACAGTAATACTTTTCCTTTTTCTTACAGTAGGTACGCGTATATTTACCTTTTGCAGCAATAGCCACATGGTAAGCAAAACACTTTGTTCCCCTTTGCATCTTGTTTGAAATTTTTTAGTATTGTAGAGTAGCTTGTTGGTACCGTGATCAGTAAATTAGTATTTTATGTAGCTAATATGAAAAACCGTCTGAAGCAGGCATTGTATCAGAACTGTTTTGGGAACCTTTCGCTTTGCTGCGTTGTAAAGCAGGTTGCATTTGATTAGAGAATTGAATTCTAGCCCATATCTTCAGTCAAAGTTGTGACTGTATCCTCCAATAAGACATCAACTGACTCCAAATATAGTCTAGCCATTGACGCCATGCTTGTTCATTCACGGACTTACCGTGAATTCACTTTTTAGCCCCCTCCTCTCAATTAAGCCTCCCTTTTCAGAAAGAAAAATTTATATTGCCCCCTCACAATTTAGCCCCCCCCCCTAAAAACTTTCACTGATGCAGAAATAAGTAAACTTGACAAAAAACAGAGACTTTCATTTTATTCATTGGTCGTTCAATACTTCGCATCAAGTCAAAATTCACAACATGTCTCTTCCAGTCACGGCAGATCCGAAGACAAATATTTAATTTGCATTAAGCACGGGCCATGTGAGAGCTTTTTAACAAGATTACAGGCCGTTGGTACTCCGAGGGATGAAGTTGGCCTTTTCGAATGCTCGATTTCAGAAGGCGACATGGCCCAAGAAGATATTTTAGAAATAATATTTGATGACGATGACGATGACAATATTATTGATAAAGAAGGCTGATCTGATGTTTTTTATTTCGCAAATAACAAAAAGTTTGTTTACCACTATGAATGGTTTTTTTTACAAAATATTTATTAGCCCCCTATCTCAATTTAGCCCCCCTCTCTTATAAGCCCTTCATTTAAAGTGCTGAAAGTCAATAAGCTCCCCGGGGGGCTTAGAAGAGAATTTACGGTAACAATAGAACGGGGTGTCCAAGTCAGAGCCAAGATATTTTCTACTTGCTACGTGCTACATTTGCTTTTTGTTATAGAGTAAACTTGTTCGGGTTTATGAGCTCAATTCAATTTTTCCCTGATAATAACTACGAAAATTGTTTGGTACTCCCTTAAAACTGCTTTTAATATTTTAGGTGTGCGACAGAAGCAGATGTTTTGGCCTTGACCTACTTACATTTTTAGGTATGTGTGTTTTAAGTCCGACTTAGACACCTCTTTGCCCGAAATATTTGCCTATTTTTCGAAAAATATCTACAGAAATGGTTCCGAAGAATAAAATTTCGAAAAAAAGACTTTTTTGACGAATGAAACCAAACGACATGGGTCACTATGGATCAAGCAAGCGATAGCAAGAAATTTTTGTGTTGAACAAATTAATCAGTTATAAATTTAGAATCTCTACGTGGGTTGACAGGAATTCAGAGACGAAGATATGAAATCATATTTGCGTACGTACGTCAGTTTGTAATTTGCAGTGGCTTTCTCTCACCTGTGTTAATGAACAGCTGCTCAAACTATTAAATGCTTGCAATCTCGAATAACACAAAATAGAAATAAAGTTCATGCGTTTTCCAATTCTTTTCGCTTTTGTCAAAAATAATTCGATGAATTGTGTATAAAAAGCAGACTGAATATTTGTAGCAGATATTTCAATCAAAAAACATTAGGGCATATTGCAATTTCTGTTTCGTCTAAAATTTCTACAAAAAATCTACTTTAAAACGTAGGTAGGATATTCAAAGCACTTGTCCGGGATTATTGGAAGGGTTCACAAGGAATCTTTATCGAAAGAAAAAAAAAGAATTCTTCAGGGGTACAGCTATTTTTGCCAACCAAAAGGCGTGTCTTTCTCCCTTAGGGTGTGGTCACGTGAACAATTTTATATGCAGCTTTCATGCATATCTATTTCATTTTTCATCATTGAAAAATTCCAATCTCAAGTATCCTCAAGTATCCAAATGTTAACACGTCTTTTATCAGTTATAGCTATATACCACAGTGGAAACTGCCAAGGTTAATTGTTTTTTGGTAACATACTGTTACCATTAACAAAATATACGCATTACTATTAGGGAAAGTTGAACATACGGTATTATTAGGCCTTCAAAAAAGTATCCTCTTTAAACATAATATTACCTTGCACAAGACATAGAATATAAAACTACAGTTAATATTTTTATTCATGTTTTCATTTCGTTAAGTTTCTTTGACCAAGGAATTTTGGTAACGTTTTCTTCACATTTACTTACCCCCTCCCCCTTTGGCGACGCCCCTGCCTATTACAAAGCTGTTTCTTCGCCTTGCGATATAGTTGCAAAATTATATACAAAGTTTCGGGGACTAGTGCCTCAAATAATAGCACTGTTTGAATGTATAGCCTTAGTTAATTAAGCAAATCATCAAACCAAGTAAAATATCCCTAGGTGTTGTTCTCGAAAAATTTTTCAGGCATGAAGATACCGATTCATTGTTCTGTCATTTAGTTCTTGACGTCATATGCGCAGCGCTCTACACGCGAACAACAGGACGGTTCTATGTTATAACTTCACGCATAGCATGATCAAGTGGTCGTTAGGCATCTATTCTGAGCATTGCAGAAAGATTGCTAAAAAGGCAGGGAGCCTATATGCTCAACATTGTACTATATATTATTATCTGGATGGTTTCCTTAGGTTTTGTTCCACGTTATAACAAACAGCATAGTTTTTATAGATTTTGTCATGCATTTCAATATAGCCCCTGCCCCCTTCTGGTCATCATTAGTGTAATGTCACAGTGTCCTTGCTCGCTAGTGTAGCCTTATACAAAGCTTAACTTGCAAAAGACTTACCCTCAAGCAGGGCTATTCAGTATTGGTATCATTTAAAGTGGATTTTTTTCAAATGACAATACAATTGGTGCAGAATGAATAGCTTGTTAAGAAAGTATTACAAAAACGCAAATCTTCCACGATATAAATATTTTTGCTTTATTAACATTTCATCTAATTTTGAGATAATTATAATTTGAGGTAATAGCAGCTAATTTTCAATGACATCTCAAGCGCACATCTATCAACCGCCAATAAACTACCATAAGTGATATATTGCATCACAAAAACGTCTCCAAGTCAAATGTACATTTGGAAATCTAGCAATATCGATTACAATTCTAACAGATAAATGTAATAGCCCTGGGGTAGTCACAGCCTTTCGCTCCCCGGGGTGTCGTTCCCTATATCGTTGCATAGTAGTTTTTGGTAGGAGTGTAGCCTGTAGTATGTGATTTTTTTGCGGAATATAAAAAAAATCAAACAGAACTTTGATATATGATTATTTTAATCTTGGATTCATGTCTATGATTATTTCAATCTAGGATTATCTAGGATTATCTTGGATTTTAAATTTGTACGATATACGATTATCTTAATTTAGATCTCGCGGCGTCGATTATTTCAAACCCAGCATAAGCGAAAACAGACAGTGGAGTTTAATCACTGGGCGAAGACAAGAAATCATAACATTAAAAAGAAATAGAAAGGGAAATGTTTAAACAAAAGTTTCTTCGAAATAGCCTAGATGTTTCATTGAAAAAACGAAGTTTCAAGTTTGGGGGTTCTAGACTTTGTATGACCTTGATACCGAAGCAAAGCAGGGTACCTATCTGATTAGATTCAAAATTATCTGTTTAAATTTTTTTGTTTTAATACTATAGTTCAGACTTCTAAATAAGAAAATATTGTAAAAGGGTATCGAAAATTTCGTGGGTAGAGTAAGGTAAAGTCAGGAAGGGTTGTGTATTGTGTTGTATTATTTTAAGATCTATTGAACAATTTATTTTTGTTTTCCTGTTATTTTAGATGCATGGCCCCATGTAAACCAGCATTGCTGAATGGACTACCAAACAATGTTTTGAAAGGAGAAGGAAGTTATACATTTTTAGGCGTTATGCCGTTTCATACTATACGTACTCTCACAACAACCTATTGAGGTAAGATAAAAAAATATTTTCAATTTACAAAGAGTTGAAAACAATATCTAACATCATACAGACATAGGCGATTATGATAGCTTTCTCACTATCAGAACTATCTATGGGTCCTTTTCAAGGGAAAGCTATTTGCACGGCAAATTAAATTATAGTTTTCAATCTTAGTGACAAGGAAAAGTTGTCTATACCAGCTACTTCCCTTGTGTCTTCTTCAAAATTAATCGACCACGCTGAAAAAAAAACAATATACATTTATAACAAGTTACATATAAACAAAAAAACATTTTATGGTAAGTACACCCAGGGCGATATGAACAACGATGTCTAATTTTGATCAAGGCTAGACAAGCCAAATGTACACCCTACGTTTCATTCCACAAAACTGGTGAATTTCCAGTGTTTGCTCAATTAAAAATACTCTTTTATTTGACTTCTGCCTTACAAGCGAAGTTTTATTGTGTAAGTTGTTAAAAAAACGAGCAATTGGCCAAGGTAATTCCTATTTGGTACCAAAGTTTACATTGTCAAACAAAGAAAACCAATATGCAGGGATTAACTGGGAGGGGCTTGTTTGCCTTGGGAAAATATTCATTCATAGCTGTAAAAGATATATCATAGTGGTTTTATTATAAGGTCAAGACAGGAGACTTTATTCTTTACTTATGAAAAAAGAAAATTCATTGAAAAGTTATAACAAAAAGTATGTCATTAGGCTCCAGCAACCAGAAAGAAACTGTTAAATGCCTACATAAAGATTAAAAAAATAAATTTATAATTGTTCCTAGGGGAAATTGTACATGTGCTTGCTACTCCAAAGGCAAGAGAAATGAAGAAGCATATTGGTCCTTTCCAAAGGCTACAAAAAATGCATTTAATTTCTATTGAAATCCCGAAATATACAAAATATGTTTTAGAGAAAAAAACGCTGAATTTAATTTTTTTCATAAAAAACATACTTTAGCTGCCTGTGATTGCTCCTAGAAAAATATCAATTTATTGCATTTATGCTGTTTATATGTTGGGTATAAACTATAAATTAAGTTTAATGAACTAGAATGGTGGATTTTTCAACAATGTTTTGAGCCTGACAAATCTAGTATGTTTTTCACACAGTTGCAGGAGTTGAACTTTTAGAGTGTAGGGCAACAAACAGCTTAGGTACTGACTGATAAATATTATTTTAGACAATCAAAAAATTCACAAATTAACTATTCATTAAAATATGAGTGAATGTCGTTTCTCATAATTATTTTCTATGAATCTGTAATTGATATCCTATAAAAATTCTTTACAGTAACAAACAACAATAACTGAGCTAAATAATGAAACTAAATTTTCTTTACCTCATCACATGACATATTAAAGTCTTGCAGTGTTAGCTGCACTCTAGCTAAGATTCTGAATGCCATTAAGGACAGATGTGGGATTAAACTTCATAAAATTCATTCAAATTGTTTAATGAGATGCCAAAAAGAAAGCTTTGCCGAAGGTTAAGTGAACAGAAACATCCCATATACTCATAAATTTCACAATGAGTTTTAATTTAGGAGATGACAAAATTTTTTTCGTAAACATCACACTTTTCTTCAAGCCAGAAAATCCTATAATGATAATGTTATCTTTAGAAAATAATTCTATGTGAGGTGAGGAAAATTTGCTAGGTATAGATACGACATTTGTCATAAAAGTCACAGCAAATTATATCATCCATCATACACCTTTTATATTATTCTTTGGCAGCTACAACTGAGTGACTTGCTATCAAAATACTGAAAAGGATACAGTTGTGGTGCCCTTATTCTTTTATGTGCACCAAAAATGATGAGTATGATAAGTGAAATACAGCTAATTGTGAAAAATTTGTGAATCATCAATGACTCAAGAAATGAAATCTAGAAAAAAACAGAACAATATTAGCAGTTAATAGGATAGGATTTCATAACATCCAAGGAAGGATGCCATCAATAATATTACCAATGAAGATGAGATAAATGAAGGTCTGGCATAGAACAGCATCTTTGCTCAGTGGTCCAGATAAAAAATGATTTTGGACGTATAAAAAGACAAAAATTTGCAAAGAGCCCTTCATGATGGTTAGATGAACGGCAGACGAGGTTGCAGGAGACCAAGAACCTTGTGGTCTATAAAAATCATTGTGAGGATAGGCTCAAGGTCCATCCCAGCCTCAAGAGCAGCAATGAATGGGTAAAGGTGGAGGACTATTGCATCCAACTTTTAAATGAGCAGAACTTGATGATTATGATACTAAAAATGTTGCTATGTTCTGATAAAAAGAGACAATATAGGTTTCAAACAATTAAAGTTCCAAAGGTTACAAAACCTTTACTGTTTTTTCATCCATTGCCCAGCCAAAACTACCAATTGCAATGCAAACAGAAGTCAGTGCCAGTAGAACTATCAAATATGAAATATACAATTTACAGATGATAAAAGAAAAAACTAAGCATTTTATTAATAAAGATTTGGCAACCTAGCGAATAGTTACAATGAATACTTAATTAAACAACCAAAAATACATTTTCACATTTTCAATGCATTAGCAACTCATTTCCTCTTTTTACAGAGATTATGGAAGGTGCCTATTCCAACTAGAGAAAAGGTACACAAGACAATTTTGACAAGACATGGCAAACTGAATATTGAAAAACCTATAAAATATCAACTTTCTGGTATTTGAAATAAAATCATCCTTGCCAAACTGGCTTGAATCATCATTAAAGAACAATTAGTTTTGTTACTGACTGGCAGATAGCCATGTTGCACTTTTCAACCCGCTACTGTTACTCTCTCAAGGGAATGTCAACTGGTCACATGAAAAAAGTGACAAATATACTATAAGAAGCCCTTCATAGGTAGGATGAAGATACAACTGGGCATTTTGTTGGAATGTATTGTGGACCAGAACAATGATATAAAAAAAGTTAATTTAGAGGTTAAACAATTATCATACTTCTCCATCTGTTTGCTTGTGGGCCTAGAGATGACACATACTCAACCACCCTCCTTTCAAAAGCCTTTAGATCTGAAAGGATGAAAGCTTCAAAAGTATATTACATACATATAAAAAGTTTTCTCATCAGATCATTCTTTCAAATATAGATTCTTGACACTGTTCAGTCACAAAAAATTTTTTGTGCGAAGAAGAACACACACCAGAAATGAACTTCCAGAACAAAAGTAAAATGCACTGTTCAGTGGTTAATATAATATTCAGTATCTCAATAAACCAGGGGCTGGGAATTTTCTTAAACATTAATAAACAGGAGATATTCTTAATAGACTGATTGGGATATGAGTTGGGGACTTGTACAGCATCAAAAAGACATTGTCCACACCAAACTGGGATACACTTGAATAGGCTATCTGAAATAAGGAAGATGACAACAAAGCTTTTTGAACACCAGATTGGAATTTTTGCCTTGCACTGGGGATAAATCCCCAATCCCCAGTGCACATCAAGTATCAGCCGCAATTGCAGCCACGCAATTTCTATTAAAACGTTTCATCTAGCTGAACAGGATTCTCCTTTAACTATAAAACTTATCTTGTATGTACTTAATAATTGATGCATTTAATGGAATTTGAATTTGAAGACCCTCAGAGTTGCAGATCATCTGAGACGTCATTACTTTTTGCTTGTGTACACATGAGGCTGGTTTTTGTACACACATATGCCAAATAAAAGCAAACATGTGAAGGGTAATTTTATCATGGGAGTAAAACATCATGGAACAGGATGATCAAATTTATTACCATGCACAAAGTTTGAGCAGATTTTGGTTTATGGAAACTATTCTCATCTGGTTGGGTCCCCCTCGTTCTTGTTTTTAGGAATTATGAAAAATGTTTATCTTTGCTATATTGTTTTTATTACCACTAATGATGTTACTAATGTTTTTCTCTGAAATGTATACCCAAAAGTTACATACTGTGTTTTTATAGTAATTAGTCTCAGCCGCACAAAATCTTTATCTGTGCTATTTGCAAATGCACAATTTTCATGGACATGAAACAGATCCCCTGCACATCTTTCAAAGATTCCAACCTGGGTTGAACAGCCCCTTTCTTACTTCAGGGTGTCTTGCCCTAGATAGCCTTGCCGACTTGTGTAATTCATTATATGAATCCGGACGTTCACAATGCAACATTTAATTCTATCGAGTTTTGATGACGTCAACTGGGACAAAATCGTAAAGACTGATGTGGAGTAGAGGCTATTATACTATTAATTCTGATATCAAACTCTTGGGTGGTGTTAATGGCCTGATGGGATTTATATCAAACAACGCAATAGTGAAGTTAGGCCTTACATTTTTTTGAAGTAGTGAGGGAAAATGTTTCAGGACCTACCAATGTTTTGCAAATATATATCCCATTATGTACTATGATCTATATATTTTACTATACCCTAAAACGTCGTAAATTCTTGTTTTGCTTTGCTGTTTTCTTTCCTTCCTTACTTACCTTCTGCTTGCACTTGCTGGGATGGCATATCCGGACAGGTATTAAAACACCCATTCTCCATCTTCTGTTCAACTTGTCACGTTAATTTATCCTGCCTTTCTAGAAACCGGCATTCAAACAATCAAAGACGTTTTAGTGCTTGAAACCTTGAAACAGATTGGCAAGAAAGCAATAGGCCTAATCATGGGAGAGAGATTGAATCCTCCGCAGTAAATGGCACACTCTGCTTGGTTACTTGTTCACTGATTGTTTTTTGTTATAAATACTCCAGTCTGTTATACGCTCCATAGTTTTGTCAAATTGTCAATCGATGTTCTTTCTTGTATTTAGAATACTTACCCCATAGAGATTTTCATTTCGGTATTATTATATGCTTTAATTTCCGACCCACCGCCTTTTCCGACATCACTAACTATTGGGCACATATCAGTAATGTCCAAACTGGCAGTATCAAATAAATTCGAATCAAACTTTTTCATTCAGCAACAATCATACAAGCTTTAAAGGTATAAAATTGCTAAGATTACAATAGAGACGCAAAAAATTACATAACAATGCTAGGATAGTTAAATAAACGTTGCCAAGGACACTGAGGTAAACCCAAAAAGTTTACGCACCCAGTGCCCTTCCTGGGTTGATTACAAATACAAATAATTTGGTTTACAATATGTAATTCACTTGTACATGAAAAATATCAAGGTTTAAGGTTTTACGTGATTTGAATTTTTTTAAGCATAAAAAACAGCAACAGAACAAATCAGAAAATGGGGTAAAAATGAAAATTAAAATTAAAAAGAGAAAAAAACTAGAACTAACACGGTAGAAAAGATAGGGGAGGGAACATTGCAGTTAGTGTCAAAAATGGTTTGCATTGGAGGAGGTTGAACTTGATATTCACGATATAATTGAGTGCTTGACTGAAGATTCGTGATTATCGTAATGTTGCAATAGCCAGTAACTCATAATGACCGACAAAATGGACTCCAACGTAGCAAGAAAAGAATCCCCCCAAACAGTTATTGTTACCACCAATGATATACAAGCGCTTCTATATCATTGTTCATCATACATTCATTCGCTCATTTAATCTTGTAACCTCTTCATTCAGGTTTAAGAATCATATCTTGTTTTCAAATTGACGGGTTAAAAATTCAAGTTGAAAAAAAGAAAATAAGCAACAATGAAGCCAACAATTCATAAAAAAAGACAAATAATAAGAATAATGTATAATGCTATTAAGAATAGATTTTTGAACGCACCAAGTGAGAGAGCTAATAAGAGCTGATTAACTACTACTTTCAGATTCAAATTCGTTGAGTGCGGATTTCGTTCATTACTGTCAAAGCATCATACGAATAACGATGGCAATGCGTATGGTATCTTGGTACGGTGAATCGTTTATTAAAAAAATGATATTAATTGAACTACTTAAAGTTATTCATTTAATATTATTTTGAAATCTCTGAACCGCACCTAGGTTGAGTATAAGATGTGATTCTAATTGCAAGAGCCAAGACTTTAGTTTGGTTGGTTCCTGCTTCGTGTAGCAAAGTTTGCCTCGCGGAGGAGCGTTATTTACGTGTCTCTGTTTCGTTTGTTCGATGACCACTGGCGTGATGCAATAATTCGCCTTTGAAGTAAACATGGAGTCGTCGATAAGGCTTGTGGTTAAAACTCCGAACCAAAGATTCAAGGATATTCACATTGATTGTGACCTTGGATGGACTGTAAAAAAGGTGAAAGAGTATCTAGCTGATGCACATCCAACGAACCCGGTAATTACTGCTTATCTTGGTTAACATTCCAACGATCTTCGCAACCAACGATGTTATTGATTGGCCTAGCCACCTTCGTTCGATTTAGAAACCAGACTTCAAAAGCTTGAATTTTCACGGCACTATAATTTATACAACTGGTTTTTAGTTTAGTTTTCACCGAACCTCCTTTAATCTTTATCTTATTGTCATTCTGGAGTGGTCCTACTCCCAAGCATAAAATGATTTTGCCCAAAATAGGTAAAAAATAAAAAATCCTGGAGGAAGTTTAAAGCCCTCGTCAAACGATCCAACATTTCACCCAACATTTCGCCCAACATCATGTTGGATGGTTTGACCACCATGTTGGGTCATCCAACATCGTCATTTTTGATGTTGGATGAAATTTGACTGAGATTAAAAAATGTTTGCAACCGACATCCAACAATTCTATTGTGTTGGAGTGTTCGGTAAAATGTTGGGTCGTTTGAACACCTCAGCCAACTTTGTTGGCTCTGTGGGTGTACGTGCAGTTGGCTGAAGTGTGCCAACATTCAATCATTGCATCATTGTTGTTTTCTTGGGCTGGTTTCGTTTGTTTCAACTATTGTGTTTGCTTACAATCAGTTACACTTTAATTATGGACAATATATCATAATATAATGAATTATGTGCATCAGCCATCAATGAAGAAACTGTAGCACAGAGGAGCTGCAAGAAAGTGCAGGGGAACGAATTTGGGCCACGGCCTTGATAGGGGATAGGATGCTTGTCCTGAAAGACTGTGATGACAGTGAAAATATCTGAAGAGATAGTAAAAAGAGAAGGCAATGATTGCCTCTCTTTTTTTCTGATAGAAATGTTGCAAAACTGTGCAGCCTTTAGCGTGAACTTCTATCCAGTCCTTTTTCGATCTGCGCAAGAAAATGTTGGGTGAAATGTTGGATGAAATGTTGGATCATTTGACCACCATCATTGGGTCACCTTCCAACAAAAAACAAAAATGTTGGGCAAAATGCTGGGTGAAATGCTGGATCATTTGACCAGGGCCTAATTTACATCTCTACGTAGTATGTTGACATGTTGACACTTCTACTTTCCTGATATGGTTATCTCGAACACCACCTCGATGTCAACTTTCTGATTTGAACTGATAGGTCTGGGCAGAAAACCTCCTGAACTCGGCAGTTTTTTTTCGTTTTCTGAATTAAAAATAATTTATAAGCTTAGAAACAAAAATAAAAAATTATAAATGAAAATTATCCGGTCTCTGTTTCCCTCAGATTTTGGATGATAGTAATAATTTTTGTTCACATGAAATATTCACATGAAAAGATATAAATTATCTGTAAACCTAAAGTTTGAAAATAGCTTGCTTAGTCTTTACTATACATTAAGTACCAAAAATTTATGTGGGATTTATTTGTGGGATTCACACCAAATTTTTTTAGACATTTTTTCCTTCCACCAGAATGTTTCAAATTCTCACCAAAATTTACATCAAAAATTAATCTACCAAAATTTTTGGCTTCGGATTTTTGTTGTTGTCACAATCTCCAACTATGAAATCCATTTGTGCCAGGATTTATAAGGATTTTCGTCACTGTGTTAAGGCTAGTTTTTATGATCATCTTCTGGTAAAATTTCATTTTTATTTTGTCCTGAAGTTTTTTTGTTATATATATAATATGTTCTTTTCTACTTGTTTTCAGGAAACCATTTCACAGAGGCTTATTTATTCTGGGCACTTGTTAAAAGATGAGCAACAGCTTAAGGAAGTACTTAGTAAGGTAATAATCAGCAATAATTTTTGCTCCAATTTGAAATTAAATAGTTACCAAAGTTTTTGTTATTAGAAAATGATCATGCATTTTAACAATTTGATGGTAAAAGCTAGCAGGTTGTTAAAGTAAATGAACATTACTTTGTTTTAGGAGCATGAATCACACACACTCCACATTGTTTGTCCAAGTGCATCTGAAGCAAACACGAGTGAGAACCAATCAAATGTGAGTTGTTCTCTCTAATTCAAGTTTACGTTATGCTGTATTTATCGTTATGCTTATCAAAGTATGACTTTGAATAAAATATATCTTTGAATCTTGATATATCTATGAATCCTCATATTCTTGATCATGTTCCCTTGGGAAAATGCATTTTTGCCTTGTTATGAATATTGGTTATAGATATTGCCTTGTTGTAAACATTTTAGATTCCATTTCTTGTGAACCCTAGAGTGATATTTTCAAAACCATTTTGTACTCCCAACCATGGTGGTATCTTGCACAAAACCCCTGAGGTTCCTTACCTCTCCCCTCCCTTCTTTGAATTCCACCTCAAAAGTGACATCCCTGATATTTTTTGTAATACAGCTTAGTGATAGAAAAAGTACCAGTGGCGGACACTTGGGGGGGCAAGGGGGGCAACGGCCCCCCAATACTTTAGAGGACAATGGTCTTTTGTTCTAAAACAATGGGAAATGTGACGTCATCTTATTAAAACAATAGGCTTGCCCCCCTAATATTTGATCAAGTGTCCGCCCCTGCAAAGTACACTGATACCTGAGTATGGAGCTTGGTTTTAATTAAAAAATTTGTACAGTTTGAAATTTCCTCTATATGATTTATATTTTTGGTTGAATGATTTTTCCTAATCCAAAACTAATTTTCAAGTTTTTTCAAATAAAGGGGACACCATCAAGGACGGCGAATCAATCAAATGATGCAAATCTACCTGAGAGTGAAGGAGTAAGGCATAGAAACATTGGTAATTCAAGTCAAAATGCTGGTGCTCCAATGTGAGTACTTAGGACAAAATGTGTTGTTAAGAAAGAGATACATATGATCAAAATAAACACTTCATGTATCCTCACAAGTTACATTATTTTATTAAGAAAAGTACCTTCAGGGAATATTGAAACTGCCCCCTAGTCAAATACTTATTTGTTTTCTCTCTCCTTGTGACAAAAAACTACTTGTAAAGAGATCAATATATTGTTGTCTCCCTATTTTAAATATTCTGTTTATAACCAATAGCTCTTCAAACAATGGAGGCAGAAGTTCCTGTTTCCTGCTGTGACAATGATTTTTAAATCAATTTACCTTTTATTTTAGGTATGGAGGTTGGACAACATATAATAGTCAATATGAAGCATACTGGCGAAATTATTATGAAGCAATGTATAGAAATTTTCATTCATCGAGCCAAATACCAGTCCATCAGATGCCTGGAGCCTCAGCAGCTAACAGTTTTTATCAATGGCAAATGAATATGTAGTGAGTGAATACAATTTTTCATATCAGAAGTAGCATTGTAAAGTGAATTGTCTGTTGTATGTACAAATACCAGTTTTGAGTGTACCAGTTTAAAGTTTAAACATTTGCCCTCTTCAGACATGAATTCATTTCCAACTGAAACAAAGTTTGGTGATGACTATGATAATCTGTGACAGAATTTTAGCAGCTTTTCAGCTCCACAGTTAAAATGTTCATTTTATAACATATTTGACTTACTTAAATCTTGTTGATGCAGACTTGTAGCTTAGTTGAAAGAGCAACACCCACAGTGTCACTAGTAACAGGTTCAAGTCCTGCCCTTGTTGTGTCACTTGCTCATGTTTTTTCTCAGATAGTTTTTGCAGTTCTACTATCACCATTTTTGATCTATCAAAAGTTTAGTCAAAAATTTTCTGTAGCTTTTCAAAAACTGTATCATCTAAGGAAGCAAAGTTAAAAGTGTTTATATGATGTATAAATCAAAACTGAATAGAATGTAAATGATAAATTCCTTATATTGCAGTGCAATGTACAATCAGAGGACTAGTAGTTACCCACTCACCAATGCCATGTCACAGCCACCTTCTCCTATCACACCTCACACGTTTCCTGCTACACCAAACCTTGAGCAAGCTCACCAAGGCGCTGGTTTGAATGAGCAGCCAGATGGTGGACAGCCTCCTGTTAATGTGCCTGGGCAACAGGAAGCAGTTGGTGCCAATAATGCACAGAGAAATGCAAATGTGCCCATGAATGCTGGAGGTGCCATGTTTGATGATGAGGATGAGAATGGAGATGGGCGACGTGACTGGCTTGATTGGGTCCATACGTTTCTGCGGTTAAGTGTTATGCTTAGCATCATGTACTTCTACTCGTCCACAACAAGAATCCTAATGATTTCACTACTTGGCTTCATCGTTTATTTGTATCAAGCAGGTTGGCTAAACTGGCGAAGACAAGCAAGAGGTGATATTTTATGATGTAAAAATTTATAAATAACAAGAGTTTGCCTTTTGACATAAGAATCTAGTTCCAATCTGTTATATCAAAGTTTTGAATGCTTTTCAAGATAGCAGCTAACAAAGTTTTTTCCCATGTCCTGCAATAATTTTGAAATTATTGAAATTTTCATGGCTTGATTATTTAGATGATTTAAGGGTTAATTTATAGTTATCTTTATCATATATAGATATTAACAAAAGGTTTTTGTTTCAGATCAAGTCGAAAATGATGAACAGAATCAAGTAGGTTTTATTGTCTTTGTTTTGATCAAATTTAATCTTTATCAGTTTATCCAAGCATTTTCAATCATTGCTCAGACGTTTTGCACTCTGAAGAGTATCAGACGAAAAGCTTGAGTATGTCTAGAAATGATGATGCGAGATAACAGTTTTTTTAATAGTGTTTGCAGTCTGACAGTCTGGCAGATTTTAATTAACAGTCTGACAGTGTTTGCAGTTTAAGTTTGATGGTGTTTTTCCTTAACTTATAATTACACACATCAAGAGATTTCAGTGCTAGAAACTCAAATTTTTGAAGAATTTGCTATTAAAGATTACTATTCTTGGTGGCAAACAGCTTTTATATGATAACAATGAAACTGTGTTGATACAGTGACCATTTAACCTATTACTTTTAAAAAGACCCACACTACAATGTTTTACTTTTTTCTAGCTTTTAGTTTTATAAAGAACCAGAATATTTTGCAAAGCTTTACAATTATAATAGTCTTGTTGGCATAGGCCTTTTCTATGAGTCTTTCCCTTAAAATTACAACTGTTGTTATTGATTTTTTTCTTTTAGCAAAACGAAGATAACCAAGATAGGCAGCAGCCTGGCGAAAATGAAAATCGAGAAAGAAGTGAATCAGCAGAGGGAGATGAAGAAAATGACTCAAATATACCCCAGGAAAATATCCAACCACCTGAAATAAGCCCTTTTAGAGCACATATAAACCTTCTTTATACGTTTGTGACCTCCTTTTTTACCTCATTAGTGCCACAAGCAGCTCAATAAAGGCATAGCTCCACATCCCAAAATGATACCTCGACAACTGCTTGCTACTGTTCTAAGTACGGAATAGATTGAGACCCTCAGCATGCTCGAATACTTTGTTATCTAATTGTTATCTATCTTTCAGCTAACACTCGAATGGATTTATGCGAGAGTGTTAATAAACTGGCCCTTAGTATGTGAAATTGGAAATTTTAAGTCAGCCCCTAGCCAGCTCGTCCCATTGCAATGACATGGGTGAAATAATGTTTTAACTTTGTTGTTTTTGGCACTTAGCGACGCTTGTTGTTCGCATAAACTGCAGCATCAGATTTTTGCACAGTTAAATATTCCAGGCATCTTATTTGCATTACCCTTCATGATACCTCGATCGAGCTTGAGAAAAAGCGTCGAATTTGAAAAAAATAACTCCACTTTTAAAGAAAGGTGCCAAACATTGATCGACTGTGACAGGAATCGCCAAACTAGGCATCCCCATCACATTCAACCAATCAAATGCATCGGACATGCAAAGGTAACTAAAGTCCTTTTGACCTAGAATTTGGATTTCATTATATAATTCGAATACATGTCTGTCAGGTATACATGTCAGTATACATTTGTCATACTGTCTTCATTTCCACAATCTGAAAGCTTTTTACAACATAGGTAAAAGTTATTAAGGCGATTGTGTATTTTACTTTTAATAAGTCACTGGGTTCTTGTTGGGAAATTCCCATTAAATGCGTATTTCGTTTGTGTAATATGTAAAATGTTGTCGTCAAATAATTTTCGTAATCGTGTTAATTATTAATATTTCGACTATTTCAGAGTTTGGAGTTGATTATTAAGTGTAACTGGTCGAAAAATCTATTATGATATTTTGAAATAATTACAAGCATAGGTTTAGAATATTTGAAGTTTATTTGAGCAACTCCTTAACGTCTGTACGTACTTGACTTAATTTATGTCAAATATATTTCTTATTAAGAAACCTGAAATAACAAAGTCAAATGTTGATTGCCTAGTGCATCAGGCTTTGTGACAGTTTGAAAGATTCGTAGCTTCCTTTTGCGTGTTCTTTCTCTTTCACACCCATCTTCTTTGGAATGTTCATCTGCATTGTGAGCAATCTTTCTAATTATCGTGGGTTAGAAGATCTAGTTTTATTACAAGTAAATATAATCAGCTAATTAGCACAAACCTAGATAATAATCAGCTAATCAACACGAAAAACGAACTATAAAAATGAATTTTAAAAAATCATGTTTTCAAGTCAAACGTTTTTAAAATTCATTTTTATAGTTCGTTTTTCGTGTTGATTAAAAAATTTGTTCCTAAACTAAACTAAATATATATAATATTTCTAAGTAATATATCTTGGATGCGGTAAATACTGGCTGCATGATTTGCAAAGCATGGGATTGAAAACTGCTTTGATAGTCTTTTAAAGATTTCAACATTGTTTGCGTTTCTTGTTTCGAATGGATGGGGATGGCCAACGCATACTAATATTTATAATAACAAAAGCCACCATGAGATATTGTATATATAGAGATTGTATACAAAAGCTACGAAAGCTGAGGGAATTTGTATATTTATAGAGAACTTCTTCAATAGGATTCTCTCAATAGATGACTAAAGTGGAATATTTTAATCACGACCAACAATCCAACATAACTATGAAAATTTTGCAAATTTCTCATAGAAGAGTTCTCTCTCTCTTATAAGTTAAATTTGAACCACGGCTGTGTTTACTAGATGGACTTAAAGAGCCTGGCTATTTCATATTGCCGCATACTGCAAATTATTATTCATATTTTTGAATGGGGGGAGTGGGTTATTCGAGGGGGGTTTATACGAGAGGAGGGCTAATAGAATTATAGTAGACATTAAGAAAGCATTATTAAAAAACCTCGTAAATTTTAGTAAGAATTTTTCTGAGCATTTGATTAAATATTTCTAGAAGTATGAATTTTTGTGGTAATTCAATAAAACGTCAAAGGCAACATCAGTTGGCAAAAATCAACAAATCGAGGGGGCCAATTCGAGAATTCAAGGCAGCAGTAGGGGCTTATTCAAGGAGGGAGGGGCTTGTTTAAAATTTGTAGTCCTTGGGTGGGGGCCATTCGAAGAGGGGGGTTTTTTCGAGGAGGGGGGGGGCAGTTCGAGGATTTACGGTATGCCGGAGCAATAGTGTTGTGGAGGAGCTGAATTGTAGAGTGTGTGGAGGAGCTACGGCCTAACTAGGAAGAGAAAATTATTCGGAAATTCAAAGTTGAAATTTGGCTTGGTGTTGTTATGGCTGTCTGTGTAGCCGTAATAGCGAATGAGGTTTGCACGCTATATATCAATTCTGCTGATAAACCTTCATTATAATGATTTAATGCTCAACTAAGTCCAGTGTAGCGCCTCTTTTTGCTGATAAAATCTAAATTTGTTAAGCTGAATCACCCTTGATGTCTGCAAGTGCTCAATCTTCACTTGCTTCTTCATCTACATAGTAGTATTTATAATGTTCAATACGCATTGGCAAGTCATCTTTATTTACAAGATTGTCTGTGTATTTCTTCCCTATCCCAACAGAATTATCCTTTGTACATATTGACAACAAGTCCACAACCGGAGCTGAAATTTCACTATATTGTGCACACTTGTTTAGATGTCATTGAAGAAAAAGGTAGCTTGCATGATTTTGCCTTAAAGATTATTTTTGTTTTTATGACTATGACCTGCATTGCCAATTATTTGAACTTTTCTTCTTGACAAAGGAATTTGATTTTGCTGTTCAATATGCTCAATAGAATCAAATGGTAGCAGGTCACAGAGCATAATCTGATCCTTATTAAACAAGAATTTCCATATCAAAATTGAGTTCAGATGAGTGGGGCTTCCAATTTGGCAACAATGAAAGTGCTTTTTCCAGTTTCCTGTGCTGCCAGTATGCAGAGCATGGTAATTATAAACACATGGTCACACTGAATGCAAACCAGATCTATAAATTGTTTAGGAAAAGTTGATAGTGTTGGTGCACCAGACATTAAAGTGTGGGGATGTTGCTGCACCCAAGACCTTGTCAAAATCTGCAATACTCTGAAAACTGGCTTTGTCCTTCTAGATGAAAGCCATAATTATTCAGGGCAAGACAAAGAAAAATGTATTGTGCTGTTATTCTGCTTTTCAAAAAGCAAATACATTTTTTGAATGATTTTGGTTTTTTTTATTTCGAAGTTTTTGCCTGATTTATTTTCCAAATTAATAAGAAAATACTTTTGATAATTATATATTGAAACATTTTTTTAATCTTATGCAGCTTCATCACTGACAAAAGCCTCAAATGATCCCAGAGAACTCTACTTAGGGCTTCTATATCCAACAGAAGATTATAAAGTGTATCTTTTCAGATTTCATGCAAACTGCTACTGGGATAGACCAACATTAAATGACTTTCATTTTGTGATTTATCATTTAATTTGAGTTTTTACAAAAATGTTTCATGTCATGAAAACTTTCTTTGTCATCTATGCTCTTGTTTTTTTTACCTTAATTTCAATTTCAAGATATGGGTTTGTAACAAATACAAAAGTCAAATTTGTGATTGTTGTTGAAGCAGCCAATACGTCTTTGAGAGATGGTGACATCAGAACAGTAAGCTTGCAAATTTATATGTTGGACAGCCTGCTTAACAGCCATTATGTGTCATTTTTTCTACTCTTGTGGAAATGATTGTCCGGTTTTTTAAACATCCGATGTTTGAAATGTATATGAGTTGCAGAAGATTTGTTTTTGAAAAACTTGACATTCTAGATCAGATTCAGGATATATATAGCTTATATTCAAAGCTTAAAATGGTTATATTCAAAGTCACAAAGTTTGTCATGGTTATGCTTGAACTTGGAAAAGTTAATCACAGATATTCAGAGCTGTTTGGATTTTCTTTTGTAGTATATTTATTTTTTGGTTGTAAACATTGATTAGCTTTCACCTGCTGTTGACTAAAAAATATTTGAATTTACACTGAACTCTGGAGGTTCCGTGTTAGCATGTCTTAGAAAGTAGTTAATTCATGCATAAAAGCTTAGTTTCATTCCTTGCTTCTAGATGTTCCGCAAGTTACACACTGCATACACTGATATGATTTGTTGCCCATTTTACAGTCCCGGCGATCAGATTAAATCAAAGTAAGAGTTAAATTGCTTTGTAATTATTGTATTCCTATAATTACAGTGTATATATAAATTTATCATCAAATTGTTTGTGTTGCCATAATATTGCATTTAAACAATTATTTGGTTTTATTACAAAACATTACTGAATTGTTTGTAAAATTATGATTACTTTTTTAAGCATGCTTATATTGTGCATACATGTATTTTATTATTTTTTTATGTTGCATTTTCTTCTGTTGTCTGTGTGATGATTTTGCCTTAAAAAATTGTTTTTGATTTGTTGTGTTATGTTGCTTTTTGTATTTAATAATGCTTAAATTATTTGTCCTATTTCTTAAATGCACTATTTTCTGTCTGGTTTATTCTGATAATGGAGTGTCCGACAAAAAGCTTTTAGCCAATATGTTGTAAAATGTTTGCTTTTTTCAAAGTCCTTTTAGAGGTCATGTCGATAGAAAAGGGTTTCATAGTGTTACAATAACTGAAGGTTGGTAAACAATAAAGTGAAGTTTGATAACAAGTTTAGTGTTTTGTACTGTTTAGTCACTCAGAATGTCTCATTTGTGATTTTTTTCTGTTTCAGATCCTTTCACAGATTGGTGACCAGTCTAATGCAAAAGGAACCGTGAGCTTATTGATTATTTGAAACGTTTTTTTTACAATAGTAGTTTTATTGTTTGAATATTATTTGTAATAATGAATTATTTCTATGGTGACGCCAATGTCGAATATTGTGTTCCAGAAGAGTTCTTGCAGGCCTATAAATATGTTGAAGACAATTTTCATACAGTAGAAGGAAGCAATAGTGCAGATATAGTTGTTGGGTGCTGCTGTGAAGGTGACTGCTCCGAAAAAGACTGTATCTGTCTTGCTCAAAGTTCAGAGAATTACAACCGAGACAGCACTCTTGTATTTATCGATGATCTCCTAACTGATCCGTATTTTTCAAAGGCTGTTTTTGAATGCAATTCATGCTGTATTTGCTCTGCATCGTGCCGAAATAGGGTCGTACAAAGAGGATTGAAGTTTCGTCTTCGAGTTTGTGAGACTGCCGGAAAAGGCTTTGGTGTAATAGCGGTAGAAAATATTGCAAAGGGAAGTTATGTTATTGATTATGCAGGAGAGTTGCTGTCTATGGATGAGGCAAGAAAGAGAATAATTACCAAAAAGGAAGATGAAAGTAACTATTTGCTAACAGTTTGTGAAAATTTCGGAGACAAATCAGTTCAAACTTTTATAGATGCTGCTAAATTTGGTAACGTGTCAAGGTTTATAAACCATTCTTGTTCCCCAAACCTTCTGCTTCATCCAGTGCGAGTAGAAACTTCCATTCCGAGGCTGGCATTATTTGCTAAACGTGACATATTGGTAGGTGAGGAGCTTTCATTCGACTACGGTGGCGGAGCTCCAAATCAGCGCAGTTCGAGTGGGACTAAAAACATAGTATGTTGCTGCAACGCAGTTAATTGCCAAGGTTTTTTGCCAGCAGAACCGTTGAACTAGCAGATGATGTGTTTCCCCTTACATAGAATGTTCTTATGCTCACCAATAAACACTCCAGTGTGGTGGACCACCAAACAATTTTCTGTGGTCTGAAGGTTACAAGATTCTTCTTACTTTTACTTCCTATTCTGCAGCTTTAAAAAAGCAGCCTCGATGTACTATTAGTCCTATTTGCAGGAAAAAAGCCACATCTTAATTTTAGTTGCTAATTCTTATTGATCTGGGAGCAAATTTAAAGAACTTTAGAGCTGTAAAATACTGGCCTTAGGCAACTTTGTGTGCAACATCTGAATACAGTATTTAAATTCTTCTTTCCTCCCTCGGGTTACACTGGGCTAAAGATAAAAAAGAATATAATAATAAAGATTTTTGGATTAATTAGTAGATTTTGTTTTCATTAAGGCAGCTGTTATTTGATGCCAATTTCACAACTGGACCTTTTCCAGTGAGTTTTCTTTCCATTAATCGCTAAAAGGCGTCATCTTTAACAATCAAACAATATTAAATTCTGTTTTTGTCTGCTACCATAATTTGGGTCATGAAGCTGATTCGTCCAAACGGTCGTTCATTGTAATGACGAGGTATGAACTTGTCGCGTAAAATTCGCTCAAGGCCTTTTGTTGCAGAGAGCTTTTAGAGAGTATATACTCTTGTTTGCATGCACATTTTAACTTTTACTGTTAGTGATTCAGGATGTCTGTTTGATGAGGTTTAATTACGCAGGTGATGTTGACGCCCGTAGCTCGTCATTTATAATTTATACTGATAATTAAATATGTACAGTTAGTTATGCAAAGAAATGGTCGGCAGTGCTAATCCTTGAAGTCATAAAAATACCAACTATTTAGTAACATACGAGTCCTAAAATTTGACATCAGGAAATTATATTTTTATACTTTTAGAATTGTTGTCTTTGATTTCAGAACGTTAAAGAGCATTTTCTTGACATTCAAGAAATAAGCTTTCAATAAGCTTCGAAATAAGCTTAAATAGCATCATGAAAAATAAGCTATATCTGTCGCAAATTAACTAAAAGAACAGAGTAAAGCAAGTGAAAGAACAAAGAGTTTGCCAGTAGTTACTGTTGTTTTGATCCAGTTCATTATCCATTTTATAACTAATACCAAATTATAATGATTTGATTGGAAAGTGCCTGTGCTCATACTGCCATGTTGCAGCCAATTTGAAACCCCTCTAGCTGTTTTCCCACATTTAGGCAGGCACTGTGAAGCGTTGAGAAAATGGGAGGCGGAGGGGGGGGGGGGTAAAACCGAATTAAAAGACGCTTGAATGGTGTTCAATTTCTTGATTCTTTAGCTTTTTCAAAAGGAGGGAGCTGTAGCCCCCAGTCCTCCCCCTCCCCCCGGCTCCGCGGTATTCTGCCATGCTCTTTCAGGTCATATGGCTCAAGTTAAAAATACTATAAATATGTTTTATTACGTCATAACTTAAGAACTCTTTGTTGATATGCCCATATGACCACTTTTTCTCCTCAACGCACTGACAAGCTTTTCTGTATTCAATCTTGAAATTTCAGCTTCTGGCTGGCTTTCTTTTAGGATTAAGCATTCACAGCCTTTAAAACATTTTGGGATATTTTTCGGGTGATCAGAAAATGATATTAAGATCATTTTTGCCTTAGCTTCATCTCGTAATCGGGCGTTTAATGTCTTTGCACAGAAAGCAATGTTTCCTCCTGCTATATGTATTCTACTGTTTCCGCTATCATCGAAAACCTTTTGCAGCTCGGGCGAGCCTACGACAACCAGGCAATTGGTGTTTGGTCTCTTTAGATAATCCAATAATGACTTCGTATTTGTTGCTTCATCATCCCCCTGTGTTCCAGTTACACTGGCGTGGTTATCAATATGTATCACCGAATTTCTCTTTAGTGTCCTACTTAATGTTAAAATTGCTTTGCTATCTGAAACTGCTCCAAGTATCGTTGCGGAAATGACGTCAGATTTTGGGGCAGCATCTTTACCTGTAATTCAAGTTTGTGACGTAGTAAGACGAAATGACGATATTACACAACAATATCTATTGACGTTTATAAATGAAATTAGGTAAAAAATTATAGCAGAATCACTAGCTTGCTTGCCATTTTGCATCTCTATAGCACTGTGATCAACATTTACGATTGAACCCTTTTGACATGGCGTGTTTCTTCAAATCACGCTGCTTATGAATTTTTATTAGAAATTTCTAGAAAATTTTATTGATGCACTTTCCCCAACGCCTTCAATGTACTTCGTTTATTAGATCTCTGCTTTTTTCGCTAAACAGAATTCAAAGGAAAACAAATTTGATCTTGCAAAGTAAAGGACGAAGTTTAATGGATATCGATATCTGATATTCACTCATTTTATATTGAGCTATACTGAACATCAGATACTCAATATCTGATGTTCACTCAAAATAACCAATTAAACGTGTCTCTCTTCTTCCTCTCACGTTAGTTTCTATCCACACCTGTGTATCAATTTTATGCCTACTTTTGGCCACTATCCAATGTTTATACTCTGAAGAGTGTCAGCCGAAAAGTGCTTTAGTATGCTATGTTTCCAGTATTTCGTGGAATCTTAGAATATTGCGAATATATAAACCTTGGCTTTTAGAAGTTCTGTTTTTACGCATTATGGTAACTTATTTTGTTCTTTTGAAAATTCATCTTTTGAAATTCTTTCGAGTATTGTCATAACCAAGAATGAAAAATCATTGGTTTTAAACTCTTGAAATGAACCAAAATCGTATAAACATGACAAGGAATTCCAAACTTTACTTGCATTTAATAAGCAACTCTGAACCTAGAAATCTCCATTAATCATAAACATGTATCTTTTGTAAGTTAAGCGTTTATAAGAATCTTACTATAGTAAAGGCACTGAACGATTATAAAACGCTCCAAGAATCTGCATATATCTGCTTTTTCTTGTTTGTGTATGAAGTATCATGTCTAGTATGAAGTACCAGTATGAAGCATCATGTCTAGGATAAACCTTTATCTTGAATCAAAATTACTTCCTAACATCTTTCAACGTCTTAATTATGGAATCTTTCAAGAAATTCATTCAGTGTTGTTTTGTTTTTCATTATATTTTCATAATATTTTTACTGTCATATTTTGTGAATAATTGGCTGGGCTAGCTTGACCTTTTCATAAATTTTTAGCAAATCTTATAATTTCATTACATGTAATCCACTCTGTTTTTCATCGTTGTAATTCTTTCTGTTAAATTTTTTTCCTAAACCTTTCGTAGCAAAATCCAGTAAAATTAGATGACGGCATCTAGTAAGATCCTTGCTTGGTTTCGTGTAAAATAATTATCAGAATTATCTCTGTATCATCTTTAAATAAAGGGTCATTTATCAATAACAGTATTCAAAACCAAAATCCCATACCACTGCTGCCTTTTGCTTCGCGTTTCTTCTCCTTTCTTTCACTGCTATCTTTCTTTGTTAGCTTTGTGAACAGTTTCGACATAGTTATAATAAGTTTTTACCTGGATTGAATCAAGAGTGATATTAAAATTATGTTATTAGAATGATATTATTAAAAGTGGTCGATGCAGATTCTATTCAACAGTCATCTTTTCTAGAATAACCGAGGATCTTGGCAGTCCTAAGTCTTCATTTTTTAGCTTAATCTTAACTTAGATCTCACCGCAAGCTAAACAATAGCATTTTCTAAACAATCTTTTAGCTTGACTTATTAATAGGTCTAAGAAAAGGTTTTCCTACCTTAAGCTTAAATCTTAGAGCTAAAGATTATTATTAACACCCTGACTTATGTAGAAAAACAGATTACGCTTGGTTAACCCAACCAATCACACTTCATTGTAAAGAGGCCCGAAAATTTAGCTTGATTGTTCAGATGCCTCATGATATATTCCGTATTGACTGTTATTTTTAATTATGGAGAAATCTAAAATAGTTATATGTCAAGGAACTCATTATTTTGAAATGTAACAACAAGTTAACACCGATGACGTCCAAAACATCGTAGATGAAAGACCCCCTTCTCACCCAATATATCAAACGAGCTATTACAAACATAGAAAAACATAAAGTAGCAAATATATAGAAAGTGAGATATAAAAATAACTTACCTTGAAAGCTGCTGATTGAAGTAGTACTCTTCTGCAACTGAATTTGGCTATTGATAAACCTTTTATACAGACTGAAATCCCTTACAAGAACAAAATTTTGGATATCTTGATTGTAGGATTCTATCGAGCAGATCCTATCGTTTTTGCTTAACCTATAGATTTCAGTTGGTGTCGACTGATAAGTAACACTTATAATATGCTTACATGATTTTTGAGAATTGCTTACACGACATTTGTTTTGTTTTTGTTTCGCAGACACTATTCATCTTTTAGCAGCTGCTACAAAAATTTAGCTTCATTTTACTGAGGGAATTGAAGTAGATACCAAATCGATTGATTGAATTAACTCCACTTATAGTCAAAGCAATTTTATTCATCTTAAGTGTCTAGGAAACATGTTTTCTTGATTTTTAGAAATCAAAAGTTACGTAAAGCTATCTTTCGATGCCTTACGTCAAGGACAAAGCTGATGTGGGACTGGCTGTATGGCACACCATTGCAGCAAAAAATCAATAATTTTGTGCACGCAGTTTTAAAAAATGTGAATGCACATTCAAACATTTGTGTATGCTTAAATAAATTTTTGCTAGAGCTCATTAACAAATAAATTTGTGTATCAAGTAAAATCAATTTTTGTGCATGTATGTTCAAATTTTCGTGTGTGAACCTATGTTGTCAAACTGGTGTGTGTGTGTTCAAACTTAGCTGTGTGACACATACCCAGGGAAGGGGGGTACTCCCTACTTGTCTATACAGGGGGGTCCATGTCAATATTTGGAGTCTGAGATTTTAGAAAAAAAATATATTTGGGGTCTGTAAATTACATGTTTAGAAAAATTCAATAATTGGGGTCTGACAATTAAAGCTTAGAAAAATTCAATATTTGGAGTCTGACAACTACAGGTTAAGAAAAATTCAATATTTGGGGTGTGAGAAGTGAAAACGAAGTTGTAAATATGTAAAAATATTCAGGGTCTCAAAATGTTGAGACTCAATATTTGGGGTTCTTCAAAACTGTAACTCAATGTTTGGGGGTCAACAAAAATATGCTGACATGGTATAGAAAAGTAGTGAGTACACCCCTGGGGACACATAATTAGCCTACTTATTTGTAGATGACAGCAACATCTATTGTGAAGCTGAAAGTCTTTATCAACTTCAAAATGTGGTCGATAAAGAATTCAGATGTGTGACTGGATGCTGACAAACTGTCACTAAATATCGATGAAACCAATTCATATTTTTTCATATCTTCTCAACACCCTGCTCTAGAAACCGTCAAAATTGAGCTTGGTAACCTTCCTATCAAACAGGCTTGTTGTGTCAACTTTCTTGGCGTTCATTTGGATGAAAATCGTTCATGGAAATAGCACCTAACAGGGCTAACTAAAAAAGGCTAACTTTAAAGTAAAATACCTGTACATACTAGTGTTCTGATCCGCCTTTACAGCACTCTGTTTTCACCTTTCTTGTATTATGGAATTCTAGCTTGGGGCCTTACTTGTGTCAGAGTTTCTATTACAGAAAAATAAAGCCAGTGTTTCTATCACAGAAACGGGTTTTAAAGGAAAATCTCATTTAAACATTTCACTTCTGCATCTTCATCAGTCTTTTCTGACTGTAAAATTGCTGTATGTTTGTGTTAATAAGATTGCTCGTGTTCATCAATATGATAATCGGCAAGCTATCAGAACAGACATTTATGTAGCACCGCAAAATTCACATTAATATGGTCTTAAGTCTTCCTGTGTGATATTCAGTACTGAGGAGAGGGGTGGTCAGGAGGGTTACTGACCCGGGTGCCCTTGGCTATAGGGGCCCATAAATAATAATTCAATTAAAAAAATTTCTGAGCAATGCTCCAGCCTCCTCATTACCTCAAAATGTCAATAATAGAAACAATAACGACAAAAGTCTGTGAAACTATTTAGGTTCTTTTAATATTTTATAATACTCTCTCCTCGATTAGCCTAACTACCGAGAGAGCTCCTCCTCAACCAACCCCTGCATATAACTGTCCCATTTATATTTCATAAATTAGTTTCATTGCTGTACTTTATCCAATTTAGATCTAGTTGTGGTTTTACAATTGTGTTATATGTTGAATGTCGTATGTTGTGGGATTTTTAAAAAAAGAAAAAGAGCTGAACTGAAAGTCAAGATCAAAAATTTTTCAGCAGCATTAGACTAAGTTACAGAATGCAAGCTAAGATGGTCAAATAACTACTTTAATATCAATTTGGTTTAAAAAGTATGCTGCATGAGAAAACTCCACGAACTATGCAGCCATGAAATGAACTTAGCCTGATAACCAGAACATTATTCTAAAGGAATTTTCCTTTAAAGGGCCACTCCAGCCCAAAACTTTTTTTGCATAAATTGGTAGTTAGTCGAGAAAAAGAAGCTATCGTGAAATTGTTTTTCGAAAAGCTTAACTCGTTTTCCAGATATAGACGCTCAAAGTTGAGAATCACCGTAAAAATACGACAAAATTTTTTTCGGAAAAAGCACTTTGTGACGTGTGAAAGGGCTATTGTTTCAACATTCGGCGCTATTGTTATACGTTCGCACTGAAATTCGCACGACTCGGTAGAGGCTCGGAAGAGGCGATTCATGTCGGAATCTCGGTTGTCGTTTTATTTATTTTCCTTCATTGCGATTGATGTTCAGCGGAGGCTTCCAGCCAACATGGACTAGTAATTCGACAAATCAAAGATGGAAGCTTCAACCTGAACTCATATCCTCATCTTGGCAACGCAGCAAGCTTTTCAATATGGAATGCTTCACGAATTTTCAGATGTGAATGGATTTCTGACCGAAGGCATTTCTTATCGTCGTGTCATCTCAGGCAGGGGCGCCTACACAAGGGGGGCTGGAGGGGCTGGAGGGGCTGGAGGGGCTGGAGGGGCAGCTGCCCCTCCTGCCCTCTTCGAAGAGGGGCAGAGGGGGCAAGAAGTGCCCTGAAAAATGATGACCTCTTTGGCTACTCTCGTTATGTTTATATCTATTAGAAAATACTAGAAGGATGATAACACTAGCACAAAAATGCAGAGAATGAAAAGTTTGTCTGTGACAAGGTTGGCCACAAGAGGGAGAGCGGCAAAGATAATAAATGATAAACATAAAATGTGTTCCCTCCGAAGTACTCCAGGAACCTAAGGAGGATAAATCGGTATAACAACGTAGAGGGCAATCAAAATTTTACAACCAGTCCATTTTTAACAGCTGTGATTTTTATAAAACCAAATATCGTGAATAATGAGCGACAAGGCTATTTGATAACCATTTTCATTTATGGATAATTTTGTCAACATTTTCTTTATGTTTAGAATCTTTGATGGTAAAAAACCCAGCTGAATGGGTGGCACATATTCAAGTTAATATTTTATTATATTACCCCACCCTCACACCACTCCCACCTAGGAATGCTAAATTATGTTAATAGAAAAATTCAACAATTCGCCTTCGGCACCAACACTGCCCCTCTTGCCCTAATCTTGTGCAGGCGTCCCTGATCTCAGGGATTTCCAGGGGGCTGAATAATAGAATTGATGTCTCACCGCAGTAGAAGAAGAACCCCATTCACAAGATGGAAACTTTCCCGTAAGTCACAATTCATCCTTATTATCATTTTACTATGTTGAATGTTAGGCGAAACTGCAGGGTGTAGAGGTTTGGAGGGGCTCTAAATACAGGTTTTCTAACAGCCAGTCTTGTGAACTGTCCCCCAAATGGTCAGAAATGTGGTAATATGAAAAGTACAACAGGGGCTCTCAAGCAAAATGTCACATAAAATATTACCAAAAGTAGAAGTTTGCTACTTTTTTGTACCAACAAGGGGGCCTGAGCCTCCTAGCACTACATCCCTGCCAATGATCTGTGCACTACACCTTTGCCTGAGGTATAGATGTGTAAAATTTACCAGGGTTTGTCTCCTGAACCCTTCTTCTTCATGTTCTACCTTGTTCTGCCTTCAATTTTGGAGTTCTGCCTATTTCATCATAAAATTGATGCACAATTTCAAAATTTTGCCAGATCAATATCCAGGGCAAAAGATCTACTACCCAAAAGAAAAAACATGGAATTTACACCCTTGGTTTTGGAAAAAAGATGTGTAATATCCTCATTCTAATGTTTTAAAGGCAGAATTGTTTATATTTGTTAAATTTACCTTTGCTATTCTAGCATTGATTCATATAAGCATGGCCTATATCATTTAAATTCATCTTTGTGTTACTTCAAGTTAATATCATTAGATGCTATTTGCTATAGTAACAGTGGTTGCCCTTTCACCCCTAAATTTCTCTTTGATCCTTCTAAATATCTATACTCTGAATGCCCCTGAGTGTCCAAGTTTCTTTGATCATTTTATGTTTTAATATGACTCAAAAGTAAATTTCACTGGTATGTTAGTATTTATCCCTGTCAACCTTATTATTCTAGGCATAAAAAAGGTTACAAACTCTTTTATGGATCAGCAGAAAGGATCTTGCAAAAAAATGCTAGATGAAGGTTGGAGATTACATGCATCCTGTTATCTGGCTACTGGCTTTGTTGGAGTGATAACTTGCCCCTCTCTTCCATTCAAGAGTTACTACAAAGACCTCAACACATTATTCTGTTTTTGTATTAACATTTTTACAAAGGAGACTATTTTTCTAAAATTATTAAAATTTTATATATAATTTGGTCATATATAATGTTTGCAAATTATTTAAAGCTAGTAACAACATATAGGTATTTTCTAGAAGTTTTGCAATAGATTATTGTTTCATGATACTTTTATAAGAACATTTCTCATGTGCAATAGAAATTACAAATTGCTAGCTAGTTCACTGGCCTGATTGTATAATTCAATGTATAATTCAAAGTATTTAAATACACTTAGTGAGCAAAAGTATTGCACAGGTTCGACAAAGGAGTAATGGCGACCGCATTGTCAACAGCAAGGCGGTCGATATTGAAACCACTTTTGTGAAGCCGTAAGGCGTTTTTTTATAGTTAATAACCAACCAAACCAAATTTCAAACCATTGACAGCACTTTTAATTTAAAAGTTTAAAAAAGTTACCTTTTTAAAAATAAAAAAATTTAACTTTTTATTTGACAGCCTTTCAGCTTTGAAACCTTTGTGAGACTTGCTAAAACTTTATCAAAAAGTTTAGTAGCAGGTTCTGTTAATCGAGACATGATAAGTTCAGAAAAACATTTGAAAGATCACATTTAGGCGTTGGAGAACCAAGTCGATGATAGATGGCCCTGTATTTGGTGGAAAGTGGCATATTTAAGTCATTTTTTAAGCCTACTCTTTTACAGCTATTGAGGCACTTGAGTGAACCTGTTTATCGCGGGAATTTTGGTATTTTCATTAAATGAGAGGATGAAATGTTGTTTCATGCAATTTTCAGCATTATTTATTCCTATTACAACATCGCGATTGGTTGGAAAAAATGGACTTTACGATTTGTGACACATTTTATTGATTGAATTTTGCTGCAACATATCACGAAGCGGCCGCTGCGATTAGGCCCATTGCGGCTCCAAAAATTTCCGACCAAAACATTTAGCATATTCTCCAACAAAAGTGAGGAAAATGAGCAGTTCTAGACACCAAAGCATAAAGTAAGTATTCCCGAGTTAGTCTTTATAAGATCTCGCAAATTGGTGCAAAGAAGAACTTTTTTATTGCAAATATTTCATAGGTACTTAAATCATCATGGCTCAATTTTTGTGATTTTGCAAATGTCGATATTGTTTAGAAATACGCAAAAATCAAGAATATTCTTGCATTTCTTATCATCAGCATCAAACCTTGATAAATTTTCCAATATATTCAAACTAAAAAGTCATCTTATGACTTTTATGAAACTGGCTATGGCCACTTGAATTTTGGTTCGCTAAAAAATTTCGCTGCAGTGCCGCCATTTCTGTTTCAGCCTGTGCAATACTTTTGCTCACTAAGTGTACATCAAACATGTATTTATTATTCATAAATATAGCAGGTTGAAATTCTGACAGCTCAAAGGAGCTGAAAAGGCCCCTGTAATAGCTTAAAGGTTAAATACAAAAATAATATTTACAAAAGTATATTGAAAAAGTTGAATTATTAATATAATCTCAAATCCCTTTTTTGTTTGTATAAAAACAAATTTATAATTTTTGAAAAAGTTGTTTGACTCATGACTAATGGTAGGTTTTTAGTCTTGTCTTGAAAGTTTTATACTTTCTTGTCCATGTCCTCATTTGTCCTGTTTTATTTCCAATAAGTCATGTTGATATGAAGCTCTTTATCCTAATGAATATGTTGTATCAATTCATACAGCTTTCATTCCCGGTATACTGGTTTTGTTTTCTTCTTTCCTCCCGAATTAATTGCGCGATGGTTTTTTAGCTGTTGCACTAAAGGAGGGGCTGATGAAAAAGCGCGAATCTTCTTTTTAAAATCAGGGAACTGGCCTGCCAATACAAATTGCTTCAAAAGCAAAATTCCATGAAAGTCTGTCAACATCCTCATGTCTCTGTCTCGCTGGCCTACTTTGCAATTTGACTTTCTCTTCGAAACAGATTCGTGGCGACAAAAAACTCATTCTCGATCAGACTATCAAGACTGATAGGGGAGCTTACTTTCTCTCATTATATCACGAAGTTACCAGATAAAAGTCTGGCCTACTAACAACTGCCGCTGCGTATGAGGTCCTCCTGTGTCTGCCATTTTCGCTAAGTTCTCGTTGGACCCTTTGTGACAGCCGTATGGTACTTGCCAGCGAACCTTACCGAGGCCGAAAAATGCCGTACGACTCAATACTCCGAGAATCATTCCGCCATAACACGTTGAAGTAAAACGAATATGCAACTCAAATTGACCATTTTACAAACGCTAAATTTAAGCCAAAACGATTAGAGATATTGAAAAAAAAATCCAATAACAGAATTCGTTTTCAGGAGGTCTGAATTAATCGTGCTTCTGAAATAAAATTATAAGGGCTGGAGTGGCCCTTTAAAAATACTCGGGCTTGTTATCAGCTACTATGAACTTCGGGTTA